CCCGTTTTTTGCCAAAAAATGGGCATGCATATCCTTTAGGAGGCTTATAGAGTGTTCCTGGGGGCTGGGGAGGGGAGGCAAAACACAGACTTTTTTTTGCTAATTTTGCCCTCCCCAGCCCTCAGGAGCACCCTGAAGCCTCCTAAAGGCTATGCACGGCCATTTTGGTGAAGGGGGAGGTGTTTTGGGAGGCAAAAAAATATTGCATTCAGTGTATAAGACGCACCCAGATTTTCACCCTTTTTTTTGAGGGGAAAAGGTCTGTCTTATACTCCGAAAAATACGGTAGCTTGCAGCATCATGTTTATAAGGATAAATAGTGGGAGGGAGGCTATGCAGCTAGCCCCACCCTCTGATATGGTGTGCATCAAGTAGTTTCTTCCCCTTTATTTGTACATTGATTATGAGTGGCAGCAGGGTTTTAAAATTTTAATTAATTTAATTTTGTCCTCGTCATGACACATTTAACTTGGATTAACCCATTTCCTGGGTTTGCATATTACGATGAAATACCAACTAACAAAATGGGCTAGGTTCACCTGGCATGCTAATCCATTAAAAAGATAACCAAGTGTAGCACGTTACCTTAAAATAATTGAAAAGCCTTGAAACAACCTTTTTATGCACACTGGTGAACCCAGGCTCTGTATGGATGTCAGGACTACCTTGTTCCATGGTTTTCTTTTAGTGGTGCTGACTTGCTTCTCTCAAGAAAGCCTCTTCTCCCAGTTGTTTGTCCTGGAATCTCATCAGTTCTCTGCAGAGGGTCCCTAATCCTTTTCCTGGCTCTGTGCTCGTTGATCCTCTTGGTCTGCCGCTCATCCAGTTCTACTTCCACCATCTTAATCTCCTTTGGATGCGAGATCCCCTTCTCTGCTGCCTACTGGCTCTTATATCGTGTGTTTCCAAAAGCAGGGTGCAAATGCTCCAAGGAATTAGGATTTTTCCCCCCTAAGCCCTTTGAGCTTTGCACCCAGAGGTGCTATTTAGCAGATTCTGACCAGTTCTGGAGAACCGGTAGTGGAAATTTTGAGCAGTTCGGAGAACCAGTAAATACCACTTCTGACTGGCTCCACCCCATCTTTTCTCTGCCTCCCAGCTAATTGGGAGGAAATGGGGATTTTGCAGTAACTTTCCCCTGGAGTGGGGAGGAAATGGAGATTTTACAGCAGTGGTTCTCAAACTGTGGGTAGGGACATCTTTGGGGGATCAAACGACCCTTTCACAGGGGTCGCCTAAGACCATTGGAAAACACATATTTTTGAAAAAATAAAGAAAACAAAAAATAATTTTATGGTTGGGGGGTCACCACAACATGAGGAACTGTATTAAAGGGTTGTGGCATTAGGTAGGTTGAGACCCACTGTTTTACAGTAACCTTTCTCTGCCATGCTCACCAAGCCACACCCACCAAGTCACGCCTACAGAACCGCTAGTAAAAAAATTTGAATCCCACCACTGCTTGCACCTAATTGTTGAAACTGAATGTCTATGGAGATTTCCAGTCCTCCAGGTCATGGTTGTCCCAAAGGAGCTTTTTCAAGAGGCAACTGGGATTTCTGCTTTCTGCTTTGAAGAAGCTTCTTGGATGAGAAGTGAAATGTCTTAAAAAAAAACATAACAGAAAGTCCAGCTGCCTTTTTCAAAAGTACCTTTGGGACATGTTGAAACTGAAGGGAGCTCACCTGCTCTTTCCACCTGCTCTTAATCTTCCTTTTCTTGGTCTTTCTTCCTTTTCCACTGCCTTCCATTCCATTCCAGCTCTAGTTCCTCTTGTTCTGTTGCTGGCCCTTTAGGAAAATCCTAATGATCCTATTTCCTCTGCAGGAAGCTATCCTCATTGCAAAAGATATGGAGAAGCAACTGAATGAACAGGAAGTGTGCAATGACACTATGCTGGCTCTCTGGGAAGAATGCAAGCCATGCCTGAAGCAGACCTGCATGAAGTTCTATACTCGGACATGCCATAGCGGTGCTGGCCTGGTTGGCAGGCAGGTGAGTGAGCCACGCGATGTTGCTTTCTTAGCCTTGGATTTCTGGATAACTGCCAGTTTGAAGATTCAGGTGAATCTTGCAACCCTCAAAGTATCGTCTGAGCTGAGCCTTATGGCTGAGTGTCCCAGGATACAAAATTAAAATCTGGATAAGCCTCACTGAAATATCTGCCCCTTCTCTTGATTGAAGGATCCACATTCAAGAGCACATTCCAAATTTGGAAAAGGTTAAGTCCGTTTGAAAAGTTGCCGTTCAGGATTTTTAATAAAATACCTGCCTTAAATGTTCTCAGGTCAAGCAAACTTTGGCACCACCTGTTCAATCATACAAGCAATTGTACAGCCAGCTGTACAGGAAAGTGAAACCCTCTACATCAAATAAATTATTTCCCCTCTCAAATAATGGCCTAAACTCAATTTCCTGGCTCTTCAAATTCTCCGAAATGAACTTAATCACATTCTGATGTAGCTGGGAACCTTTATTCTTCATTCTCCTTTGTTGGAAGTGGGTTACAGATCAGATCATCGGGTGCATTGAGCTGAATGCACAGGAAGGAAGAGAGCTCTCTTGAAAGTATTTGGCTTAAGCTTTTTCCAACCTGATCCTGTTTGAGGTCTGTATCACAATTCCCACTAGCTGTACTACTTGGGGATAATAGAACTTGTCCAGTACACCTGGCCACTACCTTAAGGAATGCTGATTTAGAATTTAAAAGTAAACTTAAATTGATTCTGGAAGGGAATGGATAGGGTGAAATCATGGATGACTCTGGGTTTAAGGGCATGGCGTTATGACCTATGGAAGCTTTACAGACAGTTCTGATAGATAGTGCCTCTCGATTAGCTTGTGAATTCTTACCATACTACTTTTCTAAGCAGTTTATTGTTTGTTTTCTAATTACAATAGCCTTTCAATTGGAGGGATCTTATGATTTGATACTTTTTCCTTCAGCTGGAAGAGTTCCTGAACCGCTCTTCTCCCTTCTCCATTTGGGTGAATGGGGAACGCATCGACTCCTTGATGGATGTAGATGAAGAACAGGGCCGGAGGTTGGATGATCTCGAGGAGCGCTACGGTCTAGTGGAAGATGGCGTGGACGACCTCTTCCAAGAGAGCAGTCAGGCGTATGAGAAACTCTCCCCCTTCTTCCAGTGGCCATTCGGTGGCTTCCAGGATAGCTTCCACAGTATCCGCATCCCATTCACCCGTTCCCGGATTGCCAGGAATACGCGCCCTTTCTCTCAGTTCTTCAGCAGCCCCCATCAAGGTTTCTACCAGATTTTCCAACCCTTCTATCAGATGAGCCAGCATTTCTTTCAGGATGCTGAGAAAGGCATGGAGTGGGACCACCCGGGTCTAGGAGGAATCCCTGAGTTTTCTTTTGATCAAATCCCAACAGGTAAGGTGAGATCCTGGACTGCCGATTGAGCTTGGCCACTGGAGCTCTTTCAAACACCTATATTTGCCTGCCTATTCCCGCCAGTTATACAAAGGAAAACAAGTTTTACTGGGCATAAAAAGGGGAGATGTAGCTTTTGGTACCTAGCATATTCCCAAGGATTGAAGAAATACTTGCTTGGTTCATAATCATAGTAAGCTCCTTGTTCACCAGCAGACTTAGTGTCTTTGACTTGTCATGGGACAAACTCATTTGGCAACTTGATGTTAATGATTAGCAAGGAGGTCTCCTTTCCCCTCCTCTATTCCCCCCCTCCCAATTTCCAATATGGCAAGGTAAAGTCCCTCTGCCATTCCCACTGTGCTTCGCTGCTCAGGCTGTCAAGAACAGTTTGATGGTCTTCATTCTTTCAACTCCAAATCGTGTCCCAAGGGTGTGTGCATGTGTACTATAAACGGGGGTCTGTTGTGATGTCTGCTATCATTCTTTCTGTTAGCAGCTCCAGGTCGCAATGACAACCGGATGGTGTGCCGTGAGATCCGTCACAATTCTGCTGGCTGCCTGAAAATGAAGGAAAAATGCGACAAATGTCAGGCAATCCTGGCTGTAGGTAAGTGGAAGAGGGTGAAATGGAAGACAGAGACTCGTTTTGCAGCTGACAACCATGGTTTGATGGGATCGTTGACAAACATGATTTATTAAAAGAGCCGTAGAGGCGCAGTAGTTGGCATGTAGTATTGCAGGCTGACTCTGCCCATAGTCTGAGTTTGATCCTGACCGGTTCAAGGTTGACTCGGCCTTCCATCCTTCCTAGCATGTCTTATTTTCAGGAAAACACTGTAGTTATTTTTTTATTTATAAATGGGCACATTATATTATATGAGTCATGGTGGTGCAGTGGTTAGAGTGCAGTACTGTAGGCTACTTCTGCTGACTGCCGGCTGCCTGCAATTTGGCAGTTCAAATCTCACCAAGCTCAAAGTTGACTCAGCCTTCCATCTTTTCTTTCCGAGTTGGGTAAAATGAGGACGCAGATTGTTGCGGGCAATATGCTGACCTTGTAAACTGCTTAGAGGGGGCTGTAAAAGCACTGTGAAGTGGTATATAAGTCTAAGTGCTATTGTTATTAAAGACCATCTGTTGTGCAGGTAGACTTTAATTTACACCCATTTGTTTAGCAATTGTTTGAAGGAACGCTGGGCATTGAAAACGGTGGCTTACAGCTGATCCTTTCGTAAGATCCCCACAGTCCCAAGATCAAAACTTGGGTGCTTGGCAACCAGCATGTATAGGTAGTCCTCAACTTAACAGCAGTTCACTTGGTGATCAGAGTTACAAGAGCACCGAAAAAAGTGGCTTATGACTGTTTTTCACACGACTCTTACAGCATCCCTGTGGTCATGTGATCAAAATTCAGAACACTTGGCACCCAACTCATATTTATGACGGTTGCAGTATCCCAGGGTCATGTGATCCCCTTTTGCGACCTTCCGACAAGCAAATTCAGTGGGGAAGCCAGGTTGACTTAACTAACTGTGTTACTAATATAACAAGAACAGTGATTCACTTAAGAACTGTGGCAAGGAAGGTTGTAAAATGGGGCAAAATTCATTTAGCAAATGTCTTACTTAGCAACAGGGGGCTCAGTTGTGGTCGTAAGTCGAGGACTACCTGTATTTACAAGGGTGCAGCATCCCAGGGTCATATGATCACTGTTAGGACTTTCCCAGACCATTCTGACAAGCAAAGCTGATGGAGGAAGCAACTATACGATTCACTTACCAACTGTAGTGATATTCTTAACCATGGCAAAAAGGTAACAAAATTAGGCGTTGGTCCAATTGCAGTTGTAAGACAAGAATTACCTATACCAGTGATGGTTAACCTTTTCGGCACCGAGTGCTGAAACTGGAGCATGTGCTCACCGGAGTGCTGGAACCCGCAAAGGAACAGCTGACTGGTTTGCATGCAGGTGACGGAACCCGGAAGAACAGCTATTGATGGCACGGGTGCCCACAGAAAGGGCTCTGCGTGCCAACTCTGGTATGCGTGCCATAGGTTTGCCATCACAGACCTATACAAACCAAGAACGGCTGGGACTTTCTTGTGCACATTTTCAATGCCCTTTGGGCTTACCTAGATGGCAGCTACATCTTATGGCTTGTATATCTTTTATTTTTCATTCACAATTGGTAGGAAATAGCATCTCCAATATTTGGGGGCTTGCTACTAAATTTTGGCAATATGATTTTGGCTGGGTTGCAAAAAAAAAAAAAATAACCATTGCAGATATTCGCCCATCTCTGGGCTAGTGAAAGAAAAGTTGTTTTTTAGATGCAGAGTCCTTATAACTTGTTTCCTTTTGCCATCATGACATTTGGTTGTGTTCATGTAACAACTTGTTCCAGTTACTGAATTAATTCATCCCCTACATTAATTATAAATTAAGCTAATGGAGGTGGGTTAACATAATGTGCTAAATGTCATAAAAAACTTAAAATGGACGAAATTTAATGTGCTGCATGAATGCAGCTACCTGTAACTGATTTAGTTAAACATAGAATGCGAATATAACTTTTGTGTTATGCTGATGCTATTTTTAACTTACATCCAATGTCAGGGTTCCAAATGGCATCCAAAATTAAATCAGAGTCCCAGGCAAAGTATTGCTCAAAGTTCCAATTTATTAAGAGAGTCATGTTGGCACATCTGGGAAAACTCGAATCTGAAAGCTTCCCGGTTTCCCCCATCCAGTTGAAAGTTCATGCTCTTGCCCCCACACCCACAAGTCCATCACACGGTCCAATCTTCCACTGCCATGATGGCAGTTCCACCCATCCAGTTCCGGTCAGGTGCAGAGGCGCAGAGACAAAGGATGACCTTGGCTTTCTAGAAAGAATTTTGTTATGGCTACATCGCATCTCACTCCTACAATCCCCCCCTCCCATTTTCCCACAAAAGAAACAGCATAGTAGAATAATAGAAAGTGTGGCAGGCCAAAGATCCAAAAGGAAAATGGCTGCAGGTCTGACATCAAACTTATCAGGTCATTGACTGAGATGGGTGGTTATAGAAATTGAATGAATGAATGAATGAATGAAGTAGATTTCTAGTTTTTAGTTGAAAATAGAAGTATGGTGACTTTGTGAAGTGTTTGCAAGTGTCACAGCAGGAGAAATTCATAACCAACCAGCCTTGACTGACCATAAGAAGCTAAGCCAGGTCAGGCCTTCTTTGTCCTTGAATGATAGATCACCTGAAGATCCCAGAACTGAGAAGATAACAAAACATCCTGGAAAAAAGCAGTGGCCAAAACCACTTCTGTACCATTTCTGAAACTCCTTATATGGCCTGTTTTTACAGTCACATCAGGAAGTCTTCACTTTTTTCATACCTGGATCTGCTTTTGCCCTCCATCTTCTTCAAATCCATACAGATTGCTCCCAGACGGATCCAGGTCAGAGACAAATGAAGGAACGCTTTGATGATGCCCTGCGATTGGCTGAACGATTTACCCGGAGATACGATGAAATCCTCAAGGCTTTCCAGGAAGAAATGCTCAACACCACAGCCATCCTGGATCAGCTCAACCGGCAGTTTGGCTGGGTATCTCAGCTAGCCAACCGCACCCGGAATGACAAGCTTCTGAAGGTTATCATGGTAGGTTATTGACTGCATTTCCCCCACTTGCTTAATTTGATTGCTGACTTAGCCCCTTCACTGGCTTTGTAAAGTCCATTAAGTTATAAAGTAGGCAAATAGCTGTGTGCACACAAACTAAGCGACAAACATTTTAACTAACATTAACATGTGTGAATGTAGCCACTGAGTCTTCCACCTGCATGTAAACATATTTGTTTACATCCATTAGTATGATGCCTATTTGCCAATTCTAGGTAGCTTCCAATAGGATTGTAAAAACATCAGTAATTTAGTATCGTACAGCATCTCAACTCTTTGCCCTTCTGAGAAGTTGCCTCCTATTAGATGATAGCTTCTTCTACTCTGAAGTTTTGCCAGAAGAGAGTATCAAAATGCACAGCAGGGAGGAGGAGGCCATCCTAATGTCAGAGATGGAGGATAGGGTATTCCAGAATGGGAACCGCTGCTGAGAAAGTTTGTTCCTGAGCATCCTCCCTTCTAACCTTTGGGAGTATTCTCAGTTTACACCCATGGACATAGCAAATGGGCAGCTTCTACCTGCTTGGATATATTATTTCATTGTAGAGGGATATCTGGGATTGCAAGATTGTTTTTAAGAACTGCTGACTTACCCAAAGAAGATCAGGTATTCTGCTTGAACAAAAAACAGAGAGGATTTGGATTTATCTCTCTCTCTACTTGTTGTGTTTCGTGTTCATAGACTGGGTGGGTGGTGGAAGGCAAACTTTTTGCCCCATTAAAAATAACTAGAATTTTGATAGGTTCAGGCACTGCTAATGCTTGGTCCTCCTCTTTTAAAGGTGAAACCTTCCAGTCCAGAAGACACATCCCAAACTCCTGACACTCAAGTGACTGTCAAGGTCTTTGATTCTGAGCCCTTCTCCTTGACTGTGCCAAGAAGTGTTCCTCTGGATGATGACAAATTCATGGATATAGTGGCCAGAGATGCCCTGCGTGAATTCAAGGACAATAAAGTGTAAGTGTGAAGCTGGGGAGATTCAGTAAGAGTTAGGATAGTCTCATGAGCTCAGGGGTATGGAAAACAACCACATTTATTTAAGATCATTGTATAGTTTCCTTTATGGCTGTCCTTATATAAAGTGGGTTGTACCACTTCTGTCTACAGGAGAAGTGGGTTACAGTGGGTTATTTACCTGAGAGAACCATGTTGGGATAGTTAGTAGAAATATTTGGAAATATAAACAAAAAGAAATGCCACCAGTTGTCCACCAAACATTGTTCTAATGCTTTATCTTATCTTTATCTCTAAGGAGTAATCAAAGGCCAGGCACATTTTCTGTGAATGACAAATGGAAGCAAGAAGATTGAAATCTCCCATAGTTGCTTTTGTCCATACAGTACTTTATTTAAATATTTATGGAGATATTTCTCAGTCGTCCAGGTCATGGTTGTCCCAGAGGTGCTTTTTCAAGAGGCAACTGGACTTTCTGGTTTTTCTTTGAAGACTTTTCTTCAAGAAGCTTCTTCAGTTCTTCAGCCCAGCCATTCCCCACTATCCTGTCGGTGCTGAAGGAGCTTCTTAGATGAGAAGTGAAACATCTTTAAAGAAAAACCAGAAAGTCCCGTTGCCTCTTCGAAAAAAGCACTTTTGGGACATTTTATTTAAATAACTGCCATTAGTGGCGAATTGAGAATTGGAGCCCTGATGGATCTTGAGGTCTTAAGGCCATGAAAATCTATAGTGTCCTAAAATATCATTAATTTGAAAGAAATCCATAGGAAGTGCATGAATATCCTTTTTGGATAAGGATGTTTTTAAGAAAACATCAGAGTCTACAAGAGCAGAAGGTCAGTCCCAACCTCCTCTTTCTCAATATTCAAGTTGCAGACTTTGTGTTAAATGAGATATACACTTATTTTTTATCCAGGAAGACTAAATATGTGTGCATTTGAGGTGAGACAAACAACATTTCTAGATCTCCAAATTGATGATTGTTTGGGGAGGGAGACTTTGGATTTATACAAAGTGGCAGCTAATCTCCTGGGCTATACAGGTAGTCCTCAGTTAACCAAGGCAGTTGTAATGGGTACCTCACAGGACACATTTTTAAGTGAATCACTTGACTGTGCTGGACTCACAAAGTCAGTTCTGCTGTGGTTGTTCAACAAATCACCTGTGATCATTAAGCACAACATTCCGTGACTGCAACTTGCAGCTTGCTGTGATTTCTCCATTGGCTTTGCTTTTTGGAAATTGGCTGTGAAGCTTGTAAATATTGATCTGCAGGGATGTTACAGCAGCTGCAAGTTTGAGAACCAATGGTAAAATTTACTTTTTCAGCACAATCAAAAGTTTGAACCATTACTAGACAGGGCAGTCATTAACTGAGGACTAACTTGTATGGGATAAGTGTTGAACCAATCAGTAACTGGGGGTGCCGTTACACACACACACACACACACACACACACACACACACACACACACACACACACGTATGTCTCTATACTTTGCCCTCTTGTTGTTATTTGATCTGTCCTAGCATTAGGAAATTCCTTTTGGCTCTGGAATCATACATTCTTTTTTTTCTCCTTTTATCAAACAGAGAATAACCCTGCCTGCATTCTGGATCTCAGGCCATGACAAGGGAGAGCGAGAGGAGCCATAGCCCTTTTGGCCTCCCCGACTTTCCGCCTCAGTTCTCTCACAGCGCCACAAGGGAGCTTCGCCCACCAAGCCCCACCTATCCGCCTTTGTAGTTTACACTGTATTGCCTGCCCTATTTTTGCTGCTGGGTCATTACAGATGCACAAAATGAAATAAAAAGTTCTAGGCCCAATGCTTGAAAAAAAATGCTCTGTGGATTGAGTGAGAGAAGAAGTGGGATTTGGAGTTGGGGAGAAGGGCTGGATGATCACACAAAGATGTTTCATGCACCCGGGGGCAGTGGGTTTCAGGCCGGGACTGTTATCAAAGGTTGGTAAGGATATCCGAGACAAAAGCCCATTGTCTGCTAATCCCCTTCCCCATTTTGTCCACAGCCACTTGAGGGAAAAACACTGCGACACAATGCAGAGCTTTGTATTCCTTCTCTCTCCTTGCTAATTATCCTAGCACAGCCTTCAAAAAGCACCAACTACCTTAATCATGTCCATGCAGTTCAAACTTCTGCAGCATTACAAGGTCTTTGAGGAATTTTCTAGGACAAACTCGCATGACGGCAAGAATGTCTCCAGTAATTTTGGGGAACTCCCATTTTCATTTGCTCCTGGAACACCAAATGGGAGCTCGTCTAAAATGACTGGGATGCATAGAGGTCCGCAGCAATGATGTCAAAATGAGGTGGATGTTGTGACATCATACAAAAGTCACAATTATGAAATAACAATGGAACTTCTCAAGTACACAAGTTGCATCGTGTGAGCCATGACACACGTGTCCTTTTTCTGGCTGTTCTTGCAGCCAGTTTTCGGTGATTAAGATGTAGGTGGGTCTGCAGCAGTGGTGGGTTCCGGATCCCGTTCCAACCGGTATGGTTGGAGCAGACCCGGCATCGCACACATGGACATGTGCACACACACTGCGCACACATGTGTTGTAGCTGCCAGCGATGCTTCCGCAAGCCTTGGCGACGCTCCAGCTGCTCGTCGGAGCATCGTGCAGGTGCTGTACGGGCCGTGCGTGGAAGCGCCAAAGGCTTTAAAGGACAGGTAAGGAGCTCAGGTGGGCGGGTGGGCCCTCCAGAGCACCGGAACGGAACGGTACCCGGGGCTCCGGCCAGGCTGTGGTATGCCCGCACCGGGGCATACCGCCTGCAACCCTTCACTGATCTGCAGATCCATTCTAGAAAAAGCTGTTTCTGTTGAGTGGTTTGTACTAGAAGGATTTTTGTGAAAAACAAATGCTTTAAAAAAAAAAAAAAAAATTGAGTAAGATTTTTCATTTTTTTCATTTTCATTTTCATACATTCACATGTATACCATGCATAGCCAACACCATACAGTATTAAACAATAATTGCATCAATTCCTCTTG